AACGAAAAGGAACAAATATAATAGGATAAAGTCCTCCCCACAGCCGTCAAGTTGTTCCAAACCACCACCGCACAGACGAGAGTCAAAGACGACCCCCCAGAGATCGGCCACCGCCCAAGCATGAATCTACCCACTTCTTTCACCAAGAACTAATGATGGCTAACATAGATCCCTCAACCCGAACTAAAGGCCAACCTTTGGAGTCGCACCCGAAAAAGCATATGTGAAACCCGATTTTTATATTGAGTTGCAAAAAACGCATCTCAATTTTTTTGAATTGAACGAGCATTTGTAATCCAATTTTTTTACCTTATAGATGCTCGCTAATTATTTGGACTTTCTCCATTTTAAATTGACCGACCATCTGGTAAACCTTATTAATCTGGGATATGTAAAAAGACAATTAAAACTGGGATCTTGAAAAAAAAACACATTTGCGAGCGTTTTCAATGCTTGATGGAATTTGGAATTTAGCCGAGAAAGGCAAAAAATTGAGACCAAACCTTGTGTATTATTTGTTAAGCTTATAAACAAATCAACATCTTCAAAACCTGAAAAGAAGAATAATAGAAGATCTACGAGCTTCCAAATCTCTGCATCAAGAAGCTAAGGTACTTATTTTTCCATGGCAAAAGAGTTGTGTATTCGCGATTTTGTTCGCCTGAATAGTATCAAGCAAAAAAGAAAAAATGTGGTATGTAATAACATTTTTTTAGGTAATAACATTTGTTAAGGTGTGATATCACCCTTATTAAACCCAACCACACACAAGCCAAAGTACAAAAATCCACAAAAAATTATATTCAAGAATCAAAATGTAATATAAAAATTCATGAAGAGCTGATTCAATACATGCATCAAATGTAAATGTTATGGGATTTGAAAAATATTCATAACAATTGATTCAATTTTACCCGTGATGACAAAATTAGCTCCATACGACCCAACTTATGTGAAATGACTTTTCGGCCAGAAATAATTTTTTTGGAATTTATCACAAACTGCAAGGAAAACTAAAGAATAACGACCATTTTCACTCGGTAAATACATAACAAAAAAATTAAGCACAAGCATTATCATGGTTCATATTATTACAAGACATATCATATTAAGTGAACAATTTGTTTCGTTGGGGTTTTCTTGCTTCTGTTCACTTGTAGACAAGGTTTGTTGTGTCTAGTTGGAATGCCTATTGTACACATTCCTGAGTTTTTATATACATTATTGATGTTTCAGGAAAAGAAAACAGGGATCCATACAACACACGACAAAGCCATATCCGATAAGGACGGGCAATCCATCAGATTGTACTAAATTATTTATGTAGCTGGGATTCGTAAATTGAAGGAGCTGAGGTGGAAGCAGTTAGGGGCGCTAATCTGACGCTGAAAGAGTAAGGCACGGCAGGCACAAGATATTCGTCATGAACACAAGGAGACCAGCTGTCATCTCCGCCTATACCCATGTGCTTGTGATCAAGATGCACCTGGAGATATCATCCATCCTGTTTAAATACTTGATAGATACAGAGGCTTGAGATAGGTGCCATTTGTGTTTACTTCCATTATTAATTGAACGTGCCCCAGTAAAATATTTATTTGACTATGAAGTTGCACGTGCGACGCACGTGATTATTAATATATTTTATGATTTAAAAGTTATGTTTTTATTGAAATTATGCTTAAAACTCAAAAATTTCCATTCAATGAAAGAGGAAAAACATATATAATAAATTATATATATGCATTTGCACTAAAACATAATATTTAATGGTACTAATTAAAAGCTATGGTTAAAAAAATAAATGAATAAATTTGTGTTAAAAATCCAAAGATGAAATCAATCAATTTTTCAGTGATTGTTGATTGCTAATGAAGTCTCATTTATCTATCATTTGTTCATTAATGTTGTTTTCACCATTGTTTGAAATCATGATCTCATAGTCGTTAATTTTTTTTTTTTTATGTAATTTTTTTGTATCTTCCTTTATTGTCATTGTTGTTTGTGGCAATCCCCCTATCTCCCTTATATATAATTTCAGAATGCATTGAGACTAAGTGGCAAAAAATCATACTTCGGAGTCAAGCTTGGATATAAATTAATATTTTTTATAGACAAATAATTATGCTTGAATTTTATTTAACATCTATATATTTTTCATATTAAATATCTTCATTCTTTTCTTCTACAATTAGTTACCATAACTATTTTATGTTTCCTTTTTTCCTACATTACTATATATTACATTCCTTCTTATTTAATTCATACTAGTACAATAAAATACACGGGTGTTAAGTTATGAAATATATGATAAAAGTTATTGCTAAAATAAAAATTTTATTTAACAATTTTGATGGACTAATTGATGAGAAGAAAAAAAAAGGAATAGACCATGCATAAAGTTATTTGTACATCATAATTTAGGAGAAAAATATGGAAAAAAAATATTATTAGATGGTAAGATTGCTACTTGCTAAAACTAAGAATGAAATGTGTACTAAGAGAAAAAATAAACAAAATTAAATGTACACTTACTAGTTTGAAAAAAGTTATTTATGCCTAATATCAAGCCTAATTCCAGAGCAAAAATAAATATACAAACAACATTACGAAGCATAGATTATCGCCATGTCAACATCCGAAGCGTGCGAGTCTGCCACTCAGGCTCAGCAAGTTTTGCATTGATATATAGGAAATATATCAATTATTATAAATGTTTCTTTTTCTTATTTTTAAAATTTTACAAATTTTTTTGTGTATTTATTTTTCATATATGATATGTTAAATTATTTATCTTTTAACCATCTTTTTTTTACATCCATATATATATATAAAATACAAAACAATGATATATATCCTTAGAATATTCATAAAGTTTATGTCTCGACGTAAATAAAGAATACAAGGAGAATGAACATTATAATTAAAATGATAAAAAATAATTATTATATTTCCTAAAGTTTAATCTCATAAACATTATATTTAAAATTAATGAATATTAAAAGTTTGAAGTTATTTTAAAAAATATTAGATGAGGGAAGAAAATTGTATAAATATAAAATGTATTTATAATATAATCAAAATCGTAAAAAAATAAATTAATTCAAAATCAAATTTATATATATATTTGACTTTGAATTATTTTCTTCTCTAATCTAATATTATATATATATATAAATATATATATAAGAATAAGCATTTTGACAAATCGAGTTTAAAAATGTTTATTATTTTAATTAGTAATTTTATTATTTTTTATTTATTAATTATATATTAATTTTTTATCATTCTAAATATTCATTTATTCACTTTTTCATTTTGATAAAATACTTAATTTTCAAGCGTCCGTGTTGTTCGCGACCGTTATATTAACTGTCAAATAAATTAATTATCCTATCTAGTTTCAACAAAAATGAATATATATGAAATAGAAGAATGATACTTCATAATTTTTATAGAATTCAAAATAATTTATTTACAGTTTTTTACTTCCTAATAAAAATTTCAATTTTTTTTCAATTTTTGTTGGACAATTTAGTTTTTTATGAAACACTCGCGTAGTTCACGGGCATTGTACTAGTTAGATTTAATTGTTAATTCAATGCTAATCAATGTCTCTTGGATGTTTTCTCTAACACTTATAATATTATTATAAGATTTTTAATAATGGTTACTTATTATTATTATTATTATTATTATTATTATTATTATTATTATTATTATTATTATTATTATTATTATTATTATTATTATTATTATTGTTGTTTTGCTTTCAAAGACGTGACCCGTTTCAAATTTTGAATGAATGTGACATCAGTAATATAATTTTGACTGACATCGAATACAAAGTAAACATATTTATTATTTTATTTTAAATGATTCTAATGATATCTATTTTGTAACAACATATATATATAATAAATTTATGATGTCGCACATTTGACATTTTATTTTAATTTTTATAATAATTTTATCCATTATTCATACTAAAATTAAAATAAATGGTATATAAATCCAACACATATTAGTATGGAAAAATATTTTTAATATATGTATTATTGAAAGGCGAACTTTAACTTATATTATTCAGAATCTTCTAAAATTTTAATTATCTAAAAAAATAGTAAAAGCAAAAGTAACCTTATTCCACAAAGAACAAAGAATAATGTTATTAATTTATTATTTAATGAACTTAACATTATGAGATAAATTGAATAATATCGCTGAAAATATTTTTTTATAATATTTTAAAGATTATAAGAATATATTTCTATTGTTGGATTATGTAGTTTTTACTAAATAAATAAATATTTTAAATTAAAAAATTTATATTAGTTATATATGAGAATTATATTTTGACTGATATCATTTTTAAACATATAATACTTGATACTACTATTTTCAATTTAATTTTATTGAAAAATGAAAGTTAATAATTGTAACTCCCTACATTAGTGACCTTGAATAATATTTAAAGTGACGGGCATTTTTGGCAATCCAATTTTTTCAAGAAAGATTTCCCTTCAAAAGTTTTGTTATAGATATAGATATAGATATAGATTGACAAATCAAACCTGTTCTAGCACGATCACAGGCACTTCAGATGTAGTCGTAATTTTAGTTAAACACAATGTAGGACCCACAATTGAGCGTACCTCGATGTTTTGGCCTTGGACAAGCTCCTCGGCATGGGTTGCCCGCTCAAGCTCGGCCGTGCCATAAAAACTGGCGTTCATCTGCATAGGCGGCGACCCTCCATATATAGAGGCAAAAATACCAAACCCATCCTTGTCACTAAACGTAACCCACCTCACATCCGCCCTGCCCGAGCACTCACCCGGAACAATGTATGGCACATGCAAGCCCCTCACGTCTTGCCCATACACCCCAACATGAGCAGCAGCTTTACGGTCAGGATAGCACTCAAAAGGTCCTCTCCCATACCACTCAACCTGATCCTTTGATTTCTCCAGCTGGAACTCAATCCCCACCCGAGGCAAAGGTGGTAAATCAAGATCCACTGGTTTTACCGCACATTCCAGGATGACGTCCCCAGAGCCGTAAATCGAGTAGGTAAAATCCGCTTTCAAGAGAGATGGGTATTTGTTATCCACGCCAGCTGGCACACCGACATAGGCAACATGTAATTTCACTAGATTGTCCGACACTGTTTGGACCGTGCAGCTCTCGGTTGTGAAAGTCAGATTGTTCAGTTTTGCTTTTTTCCATCTTGAGAGGTAACTTTGGGACTCGCCTCCCTTGTCGTTATCCGTGGGGGCTCTCCAAAAGCATGGCAGTATGCCTTTGCTCATAACTGGGACACCAGACACCTGTTGTTCATTTCAAACCGAAAATAGAATTCATGGAGCAACTCTTACAATAATTTTCAATCAGAATTCCAGACAGTGGTTAAAATGTCGCGAGTAATAATACAGCAAAACCATACAACACAAGTTACCTTCCAGCTATCAATAGCTCCAGTTTTTCTGTTAAACTTGATCTCCCACAGGTTCTGGTTCTTAACTTCAATAAAATCATTGTTAATCTCAGTAGCAAAAGTTGCACACTCAGCTTCATTGATCTGAAAACAGAAGTATATATCAATTATCAAACCAATGTTTTAATGCTATAAAAATAAATAAACTATCAACATCAAAACAAAACACCAACACGATGAATGGTTTCATGCTTGGAGGGCAGCTGGACTTGTGCGGATGAAACTATATGGCCAGCTTCAGCCCAACGAGTTGCACCCGAAAGTTTTACAGTCAATGTCAAAAATATTTCTATTGCATTCGAAGCACAAAACAGCTCATGCCACGGGCCAGCGTCCCATTTGATGTCGTAACTTTTCTGAGGTTCTAAAGATTGTAGGCTAAGGACTGCGGAACCCAGCTCATGTCCATCAGCATGCAACGTCCAGTGGAAAGCTAATCCTTCAGTTGAGCTAAAAAAATGTGTGTTCATAATCTACAAAGTAAAGAATTTCACGTCATGAATTAAAAGATTTTGAGTACAAGAAATTTGGAGTTTGGTGTTATATTGCACATATGAAACACCTTAAGTATTCCTTCTTTCAGCGACACTTTGATTGGTTGGTATACAAACTTCACCTCTGAGAAAGACAAAAGAAAAGAAAGCAGAATTAACTTTTACTAGCACCTGATAAATACCAGAGTTGTGATGAAAGATTAGTACAAATTTTACCATGAAGACCAGGATGAGGACTTCGGTCAGGCCATACAAGTCCATTGAGGCAAAAGTTAAGGTCATTAGGGGCATCCCCAAAATCACCTCCATATACCCAATGCATAGTACCATCTTTTCCCTCCTTCAATAACCCCTGTTTAGATTAGGAAATTCTTTGCTTATTATACAATCGCAACCAATTACAAGGAAATTTTACTAGGACATTTTTTTTATTTATTTATTGGAAAGAAGCATTTTATAAGGCTTCTCCTTTTTTCAACTGATAATAGAATATGCCCCAATAGGAAGGAACCTATATATACATATATATATATATATGTAAGTAAAAATGACACCAGCACCAACCGCCAACAGTTCTGTTCTGACCGTACTCTCTCTCTTTTCCAAATTAGGTATCTTTAATTCTGGACTTGATAATGCTATCTTTTTTTATTAATCTATAAGTTTCTGATTTTATTTTTATTTGAACCAAAAAAATTTAAAACAATTGAAACTTCCCCAAATTCGTACCTGATCAACCCAATCCCAGATGAAACCTCCCTGCAGACCAAATTTGTTATCAATTGCTTCCCAATACTTGTGAATATTTCCATTGCTGTTCCCCATTGAATGTGAGTACCTGGCAACAGTTTTTGAGCAGCTCAATTAGGATACGCTACGAGATCAGATGTGATGGTAATGGTACTTTTATGGTCGAGAATTGAAAAAAAAAAATTAACAATAAATTACTCGCATAATATCAGGGGGCGTAGTTCAGCTGGATCTTCAGCTATCTTGACTATGTCCCAAACACGCATATACATGGGGCATACAATATCTGTTGAAGATGTTCTGGATCCCCCGCCTTCATAGTGTATAACCCTAGTTGAATCCTTTTCACGTATCCAGCCTGCAATAATTTGGAGAAATTACTACATTGCAGTTTCAGTCAACAAAAGACCCAGTAACCTATAATTTGGTGTTCGGTCCATGTTGTCCTCATAAAATTACTCACACAACACTTCTCTACGAGTGCATATTCAGGTGCTATCCTATCATGCAACTGGAGAAGTATGATTCGCTGTCAAGAAAAGCTGTTAGAGATCAATTGTTATTTAGTATATTTCAATAATTGAGAAAGGTATATATAATAAATTGCTGTCCACTTTGGCCCTCGAATAGATTTCTTGGGATTTATCAACACTCACAACTCATTACAATTAACACCGAACATCTTTTGTGATGGACGACTTTGTACACACCACTACAATTTACTACTCACTAAATTAAGCTTTTAGCGTCTGATAGGATATCAGTTGCATGATATGCAAAATGCATAAGGTAGCTGAGGTGCAGCTAAGCTTTCAGAAATGTATTCCCCAATATTAAATGCACGACCTCAGGCATCACTTTTCCTCAAAAAATACAACCATGGTTAACAAAAGAGATACCTGCAAGTGCACCATGATTAGGCCCATAACTTGCCTCATTCCCCAAAGACCAAGAAATTATGCACGTATGATTCTTGTCCCTGTCAACCATCCCAACAACCCGGTCCAGCATAGCCGAAGCCCAAACCGGCTCACTTGTGGGATGCCTCACGTTTGAGCAAAGATGAAACCCGTGCGTCTCAATATTGGCTTCGTCAATCATGTACATGCCAAACAGGTCACATAACTCGTACCAACGTTGGTGCTGAGGGTAATGGCTGTTCCTGACGGCATTGATATTATGTTGCTTCATCAAAACCAAGTCCTGCACAAATTTAACCAAAATATGAAGGAAAAAATGTAATCCTCGTAGGGTTGCATCTTAAGAAGATGGTGCAAAAGAGTAAGGTAAATAAATAAATAAGTCACCTGAACCATGCAGGACTCCAAGTTTGTCTTACCAAGACGGGGATGGTGCTCGTGCCTGTTCACCCCTCTTATCATCACGGGCTGTCCATTTACAAGCAGTTGCTTAGGGGCTTTTGTTATTTGGCGTATACCAACCTGGCAAGACTCGCAGTCGAGTGTACTCCCGGATGAGTCTTTAAGGGTGACAACAAGTGTGTAGAGATTTGGCTGTCAAAATACGAACACGTACTATTAAAGATTTAAAAGGATGAAATGTCAAGAATGTGCAGGAACGCAAAGGTCAGCTATGAACAGATTTAAGTAAAGGTCTAGTAACAAAGTTCGACGGCGCTATAATACGCCGGAAATTTATATTATAAGAACAGACAGACTTATGTGTGCAGATAAGGTCGGTATACAACCACATTTAAAGGGAGCCAAAAAAAAAAAAAAAAAGCTACAAGTTTGCTTAAAAATGTTTTGGAGCAGAATGGCAAATAGTTGCGCACCGACGAAGAATTAGATATCAAAAAATAAGGAGGAAGCTAAGTAATAAATTCCAGATCAGAATGCAGATTTACCCGCTCAGCCGACCACAGCTTGGGCATCTGCAGTTTACCCAGAAGCTGATATCCAATGAATCCAAGACAATAATCAACAGATTTCGTAGGCTGTAGACGAATCACGCTTGTGGACAGAAGATTGGCATGCTCATTGCTTGTATGCTGACTCACTGTGTCAAAAATTTCAGCTTCAATGGTGAAGCTTGCTAAGAACTTGTCTTCAGCTATTTTGAACCAGCTCCCGCTTTCCACAGAGTTGTCAATGTTCATGGCTGAGAAGTCAATTTTCACCTCAACCTGTGCGGAACATGATAAGTATGAAAGCAAACTCATATGTTTTCAATATATTGTCTTCATAATTGGTTAAAAACAAGATACCAGGTCCACATTTTATAACAATCTCATTCTGTCTGCTAAAAATATCTTTGATGTCAATAAATCCAATCCTGCAACTACATGTAAGACTGTGGCTCACCGTGCCCGTAGTTTCTCATTGTTCAGGTAAGACGTTCTAACAATCATATTTTCATGTTCGACATATTTTCAAGTAAAAATGCATGAGGTAATACAGTAATTTTTAAGATGAGAAATGGAAGTCCTGTTCTTTTGTGCATGTTGCGGATGTAGACCAAATGGCTTATTCATATTACATCCATGAGACATTGTATACCTCTTTAACTTATTGCAGAGTTCAACGTGGAGTGTGCTGCTATAAGTACAAAATTACTTTTATCATACCTGTATATCTGCACTTGAAAAATCTTCCGCCAAGCTTGATTTGAAAAAATAATCTGCGATAAATACCTGCACATTTATTGTGAACTTGCATCGCATGATCTTGTCTCTAATAAGGACCACAACAATATACAGAGTTATATATCCAAAAACAGAAAAGAAATATTGATGATGGATGCTAGCTAATAACTTACCAACATAAGATTTTTTTTTCTTTTTTTTTTTTTTTGGTTAAAAACCAATATAAGATTTTGGTTTTACTCATCAGTAAGTTAAATGCAGAAATCACAACCTTCGAAGAGAAAGCAATAGGTAATAAAATTAATTACAAATCAAAAAGTGAATCCAAGAATGATTTCACACAAAACCTTGGGTTTAGCAAGAAGAAGAACATCACGGTGGATGCCCGACAACCACCAATGGTCCTGATCTTCCAGGTAGGAACCATCAGACCATCTCATTACTTGAACAGCCAGGCAATTGCTCTTGTCCGATCCACATGGATGGCAAAAATCCGTGATCTCAAATTCGGCTGGCAGTCGGCTATCTTGACTGACAGCACAAGAAACAAAAAAAAAAAATTAGTGTTAAAATAAATGTTCCAATATCTCAAATTCGGCTGCAGCCGGCTATCTCGACAGACAACACAAGATTTATTTTTTTTTTGGTAGTGTTAAAATAAATGTTTCTACGAGAACAGTACACAGACAAAGATGGGCCATATGATATCATGAGAAACACCTCAACCGACTGGGCAGTCCTATAACACTCACGAGGTGCAAACAAAACATTGCATATACATCCCAAAACGCAAAGATGGTCAAAGATGGGAGAGTACCAAAAGGTACCTCACCAGAACACTTGCCACTTGAATGACGATTTTCGGTTTATAAGATAAACCGCTGTCTCTAAATAGCTTCTCCCGTAAAATGAGAAGGAACAAAAGAGGCAACTAGAAGGGTTCCAGAAGTTTCAATGTGATGGAGGTGTTTCGTTCTACAACACCATTCTGAGCATGGGCGCAAGTGAGAGCTGAGCAATAGTTCCCTCAGAAGTCAAAAAATGCGAAAATTGTCATATAAATACTCACCATTAGAATCAGGATGAAAATCCGAATAGGAGTAGAAAATTTAGTACGGCAATGTGAGCGAAAAACTTGTAAATGGAACACAACTGCGAACGAGGTTTCATGAAGTAAATCCAACTATATCATGATCACCAATAAAAATTACTTAATACTTATTACCATCCTTTATAGCAAATGAGGCTTCCTATTTAAATGAATAAGATCAAAATGTCTAGCAGAATAAAAATACTAGTAGAATAAGAGAGCTGTAGTTGTTTGCCAATCTTTCAACCCATGCAATGAAATCTGGACTATAGATTTACGACTTAAACAACATTTACGTCTAATTGACATAGAAAAAGAGCCACATAGATGATCAAGATGATGATATCACTTAGCGAAATATGAAGTGGATGACAGCAGACGACACAAGCAGCTAGTGGAAGGTGAAAAGTGCAAAGTGTCTAAAATGTAGAGGCTAGAAGTACCTCAACGGCGATGGTCAATCCCTCCTAAATAACACAATGAGTCGTCAAATCAGACAAAATTTTGGTCAGAAAGAAGATTATTCATGAATAACTTAGTTACATATCACGTATTAAAAAGTGAGAATTGCAAAGGAAAAACCGAATGACTGATATAACAAGATGTACCATCAACTATCTGAATAGAAATAGCATCTTCCAAGCAACAAAATGGTGTCATGATTAGAGTATACGAGATGTGAAGCACCCATGCATGAATTGACTCAAACTATGCCTTTAATCCCATGGCAAAGCGATATATAAAAAACTTTTCAACGAATTTATGAATTGGACACACTTCTTTTGTGAGCAGTGAGATACCATTGAGATCAATGGTCTCGTCAAACGATCGAAAGCAGAGTAGTACTCATCAATATCAATGGTCATATCAGTTTGTTTGATCACATGAACTTTTTGCATAAGTGAATGTAAAAGTGCACGACTATCCTAAATATAGTGTTGTTGCAAGTAAGACCATGTTGCCTTAAATGCCCTACAAGAAAAGAAAATCATAATCATAGACTGCGTAACACTATTGACGATGGCAGTCATCCCTTTCCCATTATTAATCTACAAAGTTTTTATTTCAGTAGAATTATTATTACCAGCCTTCGGTATGGGTCCATCATCAGTCACGTGGAAAGCTAAGCCATAACCCCTCAATACAATTTCCAAATAAAAAGCCCACTACCAAGAGCAATACTTATAACTATTATATGGAGTTACGATATGATTAAATGTGTAGAAGCAAAATGAAAAGGTGCAGAGCCTTCAAATTGTGATAAAGCAAAGGATAATCAATGACATGATGCGATGTAAGTGACAAGTGAAGGAATTGGATTCGACGACGGGCGTAGCTCCAGGATGGGAGGACCAGCAGCGTGTTCAACGAGCAACGCGATGAATGACATTGCTACGACGGGCAGCGCAAGATCCAGCGACGTATTAGAATATCACTTATGAGTTGTCCCACAACTATTCTATAAAGTAAATGAGCCTAGTTTAAAAGCTTGGCAGGCTACTCCTTCCATTACTAATTGGTTTTGTTGGTTTTCGGATGGAACCTCACTTAGGTGCACCTACGTTCACCCTCTTATGGTGAGCTTCATCCTTGTTGGATAGGACCTCACCCCTACCCCCAAATCTATAACTCTATCACGGCGAATGTGGGACCTCACCCCTTCCCCCAAATCTATAACTCTATCACGGCGAATGAGCAACACAAGAACGGAAGTCGACTTTGACGAGTATTGGGGATGGATTAGATAAATCAACCCCAAGCCTAAGCCTAATATTTATTCTAAAAAAAACAAATCTAGGACTCCAAAACTTCTAGAAATACAAAATTGAGGACACCTGAAAAGTTTCCGGCAACACACCCCTTGATGCGCGACTACAGACAGAGAGTGCATGGCATGTGTGACTCACATTCGCGGAACAAGATGTTTAAAATTGCCTGGAAGATGGAGAGGCGACTGGTGCATAAGGTGAGGCCCGAAACTCACCCTATTCTGGATCCATATTAGTAACTTGGAGGTTTAGAAGACTAGTTTGCATTAGTGGAAATAACATATAATCACAGGGTCCTCCATGAGCTATATGGGCTTCCATATATTTAACGCATGAGACCAGCAAGCTTTATGGCATTACGGCATACAAAAAGGAAAGAACAAAAAGAATGGAAACAAAGTCTAGCAAGTTGCTATATTTATTGGTTGGTTGACTGATTTCCTTTGTTTATGATGTCTAGTGATGTCAAACATTTTATGATTTGCTTTTCATGTACATATATATAAACAGGTAAAGTATTTAATACAAATAGCATGGGCATTTTTCCATCAAATATTTTAGTTACCAAAAAATAAAATTCCTTAGTTTTTACTTTTTGACTTTTCCCTTTTTTCCTTTATAAGATGTCTATTTTTCAAGAAAGAAAATTTAATAATTTATCTATTAATTTGTGATTTCACAATTTGTTAATTGAAAATTCTTTATAATCATAGAAATAACATCTCCATAAAAATTTATCAAACTCCTTTAAAAACACAAGGAAAATAATTTTTAAAAATCATAATAATGATTTTTACAAGATTACTCGATTTGAATTATAAATAACTATTTGACAATATATAATAACAATTATAATTATTTATCTTAGCTATGAAATTGCTGCATTTTGTTTGAATTATTTTTAATGTAATTTGTTTTTGCAACATCAATAAAATTTTACACACATTAGTTAATAGTAATTAATATGCAAAAGTATCTTGGCTGGTACTGGTATTTGAATCATCGTGTCAATTGTATATCTATTAATTAAATTTAAAATTCTAAAAATCATTATATTCGTTTTCTTTATAAATATGAATAAAGTAAGAAATAATTAAATTGTCTTTCACTTCATAATTCAGAATTGTAGTATATTGTACTTTGTTATAGACAGATATCTAGGGGGTGTGTTTATTTGGGATTCTTAAAGATTTGTTGGGACTTTAAGGGGGGTATTCATTGGGATTTCTAAAGACTGTAACACATTAGAAATCCTATTGTATTTGACTCTTTAACACTTTTAAAAGTCTTGGGTATTCATATAGGATTTTATAAAGTCTTACAAAATCCTAATGTATTTAGCTTATTTGAGACTAAAATTTGTTATGACTTTTTCAGATTTGCTGACATTTTTAAAGAAAAAACCTTATACGAAATCCCACTCAAAATCTCACCTCCAGACTTAAGATTTCACAGGATTCCTCCAAATTATGAAAATCTAAAAAAGTCTCAAATCTCAAAAAGTCTCAAAATGTCATTCAAAATTCCAAACGAATAACCCCCTAAGAATGTTGGTGTATTTAATTTGAACTTTTTGAGACTTCTAAAAATCTTGAGGTATTCATTTGTGATTTCAGAAAGTCATAACAAATCGCGAGATATTTAACTTATTTGACACTAGGATTTACAAAGACTTTTAAGACTATTCAAGATTTGTTGAGATTTCATAAACAAAAACCTTATACGAAATCTTATTCCAAATTCCATCTCCAAATTTAGGGTTTTAAAGGATTCCTATTAATCTCAATATCTTAAAAAGTCTCAAATCTAAAAAAACAAATCACAATAAAGGGATACACCCTCCTTACTATCAGAATTATTTCATAAAATACTTAAAGTAATTATGAATCTCAATAGTCAATAAAGGGACACAACATGGGTTGCGCATCCATGTTATAGGTCGGTCAATTTGACATGACCTAATCAATTGTTTAAACTAAATATGAATCTCAATATTTAGAATATTTTGTCACGATAAATAAAATATAGTCTAATAATCAAATCAAGAATGCCTTTATAATAAGATGTTCAATAATACATGAGTATTTATGTATGATTATACTAATATTTATTTCAACAAAATGATAATGTATTACAACATTGTTTGTCAATTGTTGAAACAAAATATTAGGAACATTTTCGTCAACGTAAATAAAATGTAGTCTAATATTCAAATCAAGAATACCTTTATAATAAGATGTTAAATAAAATGTAGTATTTATCGAGGTTCTGAAAACCGGACCGGTCATCGAACTGATCAAGCTACTTTGTTCAGTTGAACCTGATCCGACCAGTGGTTGAACCGGTTGGACCAACATTTAATTTATTAATATTTTTAAACAAATATAATATTCTATATAATAAAATTCATAGTCAATTTAAAACATTCAAATACTTAAACTAACAAATAATAACTATATCATTTTAGCTATAAAGCTAACTATAAATATTAAAAAAAAATATTTAAATTTTAAGCCAATTTAAAACATTCAAATACTTAAACTAACTAACATTAATTATATCAGTTTTGCTACAAATATTCTACATTTAAATATGTATTTTTTAATTATCTTATTTTTTATATATTAAGATTTATCATCTTAAAAAAATTTGGACCGGCTCAACCGATCCGACTAGTGTTTTTGACCTGTTCTAACCGGTTCAACCGGCCGTCGATTGGTTTTTGACCAGTCTGTTGGCAACCAATTCATTCCGACTAGCCGGACTGGTCAAGTGTTCCCGGTCCAAACGGTCGGACAGTTCAGTTTTCTAAACCATGGTATTTATATATGATTTTATTAATATTTATTTGAACAAAATGATAATGTATTATAACTATTAACGATGTAGGATAAACCGTGATTCATGTTATTTATATATAATTTATAATACGACCTTAATATTATTTTCCCATGCATCACACGGACCACATACTAGCATTGTCGAAAGTCAGTCTCACGTCAAAACAACTAGATTTAGGAGCTATCCTTGACGTATACATTATATGCATACATACATACATACATACATAATACACATACCATATGATGATTAAGGTTTGGAAAAATGACTCATTTATTTAATGTCCTCTACAATGCTCAGACCTAAAAAAAGGAAGGCATATCATTTGACTTCTTCCAGTCATTTTTAGTACCTAGCTATTTGTCCAATAACACGTTAGTCAGACAAGAATTCCTTGCCGATCAATTCATAAACATGATTGTCGAAACTTATAATTATCACGAGTCCTAAAATTAGTTTCATTTGTACTCTAGATAAAACCACTTATGGAAGATTTCCAGTACTTCCAGTTATAAAAACATCCCTATTGTCAACCAAAGATATCATGTATAACATATAAACTAACAGTACAACAAGCATGAATATAGGCAAGTTGTACAATGGACGAATTTAATGAAATGCATATATGTTATTACAAATGTATGACTAACCTGTATCCAGTGGGGTGTCCATTGACCCATAAAAAGAAAGCAGAATCGACTGCTTCAAAATGTAAAAATATTCTTCGATCTGCAATGCAGTTTGACAATATGGTTGATAACAAAATAAATTAACTCGTGAAAAAGCTCATAGGTGCCATCACCTTGAAGGGCCATGATATGAGAAGATACAACAAACACATACCAATTGCACAATCATGTGTACCATATGTACTGATATATCTAATAGTCTAATGTTTTTCAGAAACCAGTCAACAACTCTAACAAACAACTGATGTATACGAACATAAAAAATCAATATTGTTATTATAGCATCTGACTAAAGCAAATATTAATGCAGTTCATATTATCTTTATCCTCAATCAACTGGATATATGAAACTTTAACAGTTAAAGTTAGAACAGATAGTGAACCAAGAAGAAAACGTTACAGGCAATACGCCCCTCTGCCATCTATTTGAGTCAGACATCAGAATAATTTTATAAAAAGAACTTTTACACCTGATAGCTAGCGCAACTTAACTTATCTTTTCATAAACTACCATTCCCCAAAATTCCGTGACAAAAAATTGGCACTGAAACTCCTAGATTAAAGGCAGGCTACAGATAACAACAAAAAGGTTCGTTCACAAATGTAGACTGCATCATCACCACCACCACCATAATCCAGAGCATCGATAGACCAAAAATAATGTCTATAAAAATTAGAGACCACAAGTTTCAATTTGGAATTTAAAATCTAAAGCACAATTGTTTTGGTTCGTAATTGAACAACAACTTCTCTGAGAATCTAAAAAATTGACTCAGGTAATCTACTATTCAGCAGGCCCTTCCGATTTCCAAGCATCCATCACAGAAACTTAAGTAACATAATCTATTGAACATCAAATGGCAGTCGTTGAGTTCAAACAAATTCACCAAATTTGCTACTGCAGCATAAAATCTAGACATCAAGGAGAATAGCATATTCCTGAATAAATATTGTAACTAAATGGGTACAGGTAAATATTTGCTGAAACTATGAGCATAAATTACAATTTTATAATTTAAAACATAATATTTAAAAGAAAAATATAAAAGATGGATAAGTGTAAGCAGTACAATGAAGTATATGAAGACCATGGTTCAACCAGAATCTCACCTTCCCATTCTTTTGGAAGGTTAAACAAAGTTCTGTAGCAGCCAGTGGGATTATCTTCTGGAACTTTAGGTGGATTAAGTGGAAATGGGTATACAATATTTGTATATATTGGCCGATCAAATCCATGCATCTGCCAATTCGAGGGAACTGGATTGATAGAACACACAAACACAGTTCAGAAATGAGCCACTTCCATAATTTCGCTGTGGAACTATTTAACAGCATGCTGCTGTTTATCATTTCTAATAAATTCTAGAGTTTTAAGGGACAAATGTGCATGCTGCTGTTTATCATTTCTAATAAATCTCAGGGGAAAAAATTCTTGGCTACAGCATCCTCAAAGTCGGTGTTTTACGCAACTTTTTATTCAATTAGTATACTTTATCATCCATAACTAATTTGCCATCTCAAACAAATCAGTAACTTGCGCATAAAAACGACCAGATTATAACAATACTTCCAGGTAACTGAGTAAGCCAATACATCATTACATGGGATTTGCATACAATTCTCATCTTGATTAAATGTCAGCTAAACGATAGTCCATTTTCTCAAGTGAATCATATTTACTTCCCATGAAATTTGTGCAGACTACGTACATTAACTCACTAAATCATTATTATGAGAAAATAATAGAAAATCAATAAGGTTAACAACATTTGTATATAAGAACTTAGAACTCAACAATTTATCCAGGATTCCATAAATAATGCATCACCTTTAATCTTGAAAACAGGTTCTAATTACCATGTCTTATCCTTTAGGCTTTAACACACTAAGACTGCCACTCGAATAGATAGTTTTCAAAGTGGACAGGATCAAGATTTCAAGAAGGGGCAGAAAAGAAACAAGTAAATCAAGTGCCACCAGAAACCAAATGGACAATGTCACAACACAAGGTAAAGACGTACCTGGTATAGTAGCCCATGAAGAATCTTGAAATGAACTGTCATGGAATTGCGCCGGGGCATTACCGGGGCTGGAGGCCAGAAAGAATTTCCAGCGTCCAGACAAAGACTTTACAAAAGGCAAGTCCTTAACCCAATATGCAGCACAATCAAGCGCCTTGGCAATCGCATTATCATCCCAAACAGCTTCTTTCGATACCAAAAGATCGACTTTGTTCCGCTCATACCAATACTTCAGTGATCCTAAACAGTAGCAGCATTAAAATTTTGTGAGAGTTCCACATAATTCAAAAGGAAAAAAAGGGCAAAGGGGAATTTTCATTACTAACAATTAACAAAGTTTTCTCTTCTGCAGTGGAGTTAAAAACTGATGAATAAATGCACAAAAAATGTCAAATATCAACGTTGTCTTCTTCTATCCACTTCAAATGAAAGAAGTTCAATCTTAGAAACAAAATTTGCGCACACAGAGGCAATGGGATAAGTAAATGCCTATAGAAAACAAAACAAGCCAACTGTGAAAGCCCTGTAACTATGTTTCAATGGCCTTGTAAAGCTAAACACCATTAATACCAAGTGACCTCAAATTGCAAAACAAGAACAATTAGCAAATCGTATATAAATGTTTTAATTTCATGAATTAGGTTAAATTAATTTCAGAAAGCACGCCGCGAAGAAAAGACAATTAAACCTTCAACAGATTCATGGCAGTGCAATGGAACATGAGAATCTCTCTTCCTCCACTTGATGAAAGAAGGATCTTCCCATATCTTGTAGCCATTGTTTGGAGGTGAGACGAGTTGAGCAATCAATGAAGCCATGGGTTCAGAAGAGGAAAGTGAACCTGCGCAGTGTAAGATGATGATGATAATAATTTACCTCTAATGATCGCAAAAAGGAGGAATAAAGGAACTATCTGTTATAATATGTACAAGTGGAATAAACCACTATGCACAAAATAATTTCACTCCATTATTTGATGTTATGGGAATAGTGAAATGGGGTATGGATATTAATAATTGATGTGAATTGTGTCGGAAGAGTTTTGTCTATAAAAGGCACTCCAAGTGTAAAGAAAATTTGCACCATTGAAAGAAAAAAAAAAGAAGAAAGAAATATTCAGTATAATTTCTATCCGGCTTCTATTTGGTGTTCCTTATATTTTCTGTTTTTATAACACTATCAAAACCTGGTGGGGATAATAACTCTGTACGATGATTACGTAGCGATTGTTTATGAACTGGGCAAAAAAAATTGGTTTTTAACTCAATTTTACTGTTGAGTGTGTGATTGTTTTCAATATTATTGGGCTCACGTATTTATTCCAGTCATGGAAAAGTATCTTTTAACTCCACTAGATGGACCACTAGCCCATCTGTAAAAAATTCATTGCCCTCTACAACTTTTTTGACTCCTTTTTAGCTCATTTCAAATTCATGGAACTGTCTCTGAATCCGTACAACATATTGTCTCAAATTTTTCCTCCATAAAAACCCCTCACCCACCTCCGTCTCTGTATGGATCTCTCCCCATACCAAAATCAACCGGCAACACAACGTGAAGAAGGCGCTGAAGGGAGGTCAGATCGGCGACCCGACGAAACGACAGAGAGCACCGGCAGCGTGTCGGTCACATCTCCGAAAAAAAAAAAAAAAAGACTGCTGCCAACAAAGGTACATGATACTCCTCTTCAATTTGTAAAATTGAAACGTGCTTGAGGTCAATTTATCTTTGCCTGCAAGATTGTGGTAGAGGTGCGCCAAATTTGAAACATGCTTGAGTTCAATTTTGAGATTTCAGATCACATGGCATTGGGGGTTTTTAGAGTTGATGGATTTGTAAACCGAAAATCATGTTCATTGTATATAGACTTCTGTTATTATTGAGGGAAGGTTGAAGGCGCACTTCGTTGTACGATGAGTACTGAGGGCGTCTGTCTGTAGGGGTATTTTGTGTTGTTACAGGGCATTTTGTGTTGCTACCTTTTTTTTGTAGGGGTGCTCAGTGTTACCTTTTATTTTTAGGGGCATTCTGTGTTGTTACCTTTTACTTGCAATTAATCTTAACACATGTGAGGAGTACCGTACCACATTGTAGTTAGTTTGTTTATATCTTATAAATGTAGATGTCATATACCGGTGGTATTGGTATTTGGTACTTCAACTGATAATAGTCAAGGCGACGCGAAATGGCCTCCCAAAAATGAAGCCGCATTTGTGAGTGTTTTGTTGGAAGAAGTCCAGTTGGGAAACCGTGTGGCCTGTAAGTTCACCCCGAATCAATGGACGACCATTCTTGGAAAGTTGCTAGAGCGGTGCCCTACTTTCTATCCTTATAAAGTTGGCCAACTGCACACAAAGTACCAACGTATGAAAGTCTATTGGAGAAGGTTTCACAACATAGTTACCAACGCAACCGGATTGGGATGAAATGACACTAAAAAAATTAATTGAAGGGACCGATGAATGGTGGGCCAAATGGACAGCCGTAAGTATTTTTATAACATACAAATTATTTTGTATGTTTTTTGATGTTTTGACAAGTGCTTTTCTAGTTGCTATTAGTGTGGTTGTATATATTAAATAGAATGATGAATTCATGAAGGTGATTTGCTATTATATTTTGCAAATATATGTTACTGTGACTTGGTCCAGTAATAATTATTATTGTCCTTAAAAATATATTTCATCACTTTTTATACTATCTTTTGCTTTGTTCTTCTCATATTGGTAAAATCTCGTTTTCAATGTCGCGTGCACAGACAAATAAAAGGGATCATGATATGGAGAATAAGATGTGCGTGCACTATGAAGCACTGACTGGTATCTTTCACGACACGACTGCTACGGGGTCGAATGCGAGGGCATCAACTCAATGGGTGGCCGAGGGCCGAAGCGTCGGTGGTGACCCATCCAGCAATGTCAGCCACGACTTTGTGGCGGAGGATGATGACGACCCAATGGTCACCCCGACATCTCATGCACGGAATGGTAGGCAGAGACGGTCCATTCGCCCAAGGAGAGGCACCGAGTCTAGTTTTGACACAACCATATATTCGTGGTCAGACTTAAATGTATCCCTTAAAGAAAGAAACAACAAACCCCCAAAGCTAACGGCAATGGAACAAGCTATGCGCGACCTTCAAGCAATGCCGGATATGGATCCTGATCTTTTCCAATATGTGTGCAAGAAGTTTCGGGATCCCACCAATCGAGCGATGTTTGCGGCAATTACTAGTGATGAGAGACGTCGTATTATAATTAAAATGTGGATTGATGAGGGCCCCGGTGATCAGTGATGGGGGATGCTGAAGAACGTTTTTTCTTTCTCTTTACTGCTTCTTGGACTTCTCTATCTTTCTATTTTCTTCAACTTTATTGTTTATTGCTGCTTAGACTTCTCTATATTCCTATTTTCTTCATTTATACTTTGTCTAACATTTCCAAGCTACATTTGTTGTTGCATGATTATTTTTTAAAATTTGTTTGTGGACATTTGAATGTATGTTTTTAGCAAATATATTTATTTGTAGGATGTCTTATGTACACGATAGTGCCTCACATGAGGAGGAGCTGGATGATTTGCCCGACGACATTGATAGTGATTTGGAGCCGGTGGAAGACTATGATCCCTTGGAAACATCCTTAATGGTGGGGGCTCAATTTCAACAACTCGTAAACATTTTCTCGGCTTCCTCGTCCGCATTTCCCCCTTTAAGAAGAACCCCCTACCGAGAATCCACTTACACGGGTTTAGATTGGGTAAATGAACTGTTAAATGGAAATCCACGGCGCTTTAAAGATGCAATGGGCATAAATCAATGTCATTTTAGCATCCTATGTGATGAAATCAAAGGGGGCGGGATTCCATGAACAAACGAGACAACAAAGAATAGGCATTGAAGAAAGTGTAGCCATTTTTTCTTCATACAATAAAAGATCATCAAAGGCAACGACATGCGGGTGAGACATTCAGACATTCGGGGGAGACAATTAGTCGTCATTGTCACAAAGTCATCAATGCTCTATGTTATCTAGCCCCCGACTACATTCGTCCCCTACACTTCAATCGTATTGCACCGTGGATAAGAAATAATCGAAACTTATATCCCTACTTCAAGGTAAATATTACTTCATTTTTTTAATATGTTTAGTTATTATTTTAACATAAATTACTTGTATAGTGAAATTGTTTTTTCTAATGCTAGGATTGTATTGGCGCCATTGACGACACTATTATATCAGCGTGGGTGCCCGAAGGACAGCAAGGTTCGTACAGATGTAGGAAAGGTTATTTAGCCCAAAATGTGATGTTGGCGTGTGATTTTGACTTGAAGTACACTTTCGTCCTAGCGGATTGGGAAGGCAGCGCAAACGACGCACGTATTTTTATTCAAACTATGTCAGACCCCAGATAAAATTTCCCCTTTCCACCATCCGGTAATTCAATCAATACACTTTTCATACATTTGTATTATTACGTAATTAGATCATAATCTATTTTATCAATTTTTTCTAGAACGCCCGCAACTTCACAACATCTGTTCATGCAGGTAAATTCTATGTGGTGGACTTCGGATACGCAAACATCCCAGGTTTCATGACGCCATGTCGTGGTGAAATATATCATCTTCCAGAGTGGTTGGGGTCTAACCAGTTGCCCGGCAATGCTCGTGAGTTGTTTAAGCGACGACATGCCACTGTCCGTAACGTTATCGAACGCAGCTTTGGTTTGCTAAAAGGAAGTTTTCCATCATAAAGGGGTTGATGCCAAACTACACAGTTCACTCCCAAACTGACATTGTAATAGCTTGTTGCGTTCTACACAATCTTATTCGAATGCATAAATCGCTGGAAAACTTGCCGCCTGAATTCAGGAACGCAGAGTACGTACGGAGACATGATTCTCGGGATCATACTTTTCCTTTTATGTCCAATGATAGGAACGCGAACTCCAGCGTTGGTGAGCATTGTGTGTTGCGTGACACGATAGCCCAAGCCATGTGGGCGAACCGAAGATAGAACATCGTTTGTATTAATGAAACCCCGAACAGACCAACGCTTGAAATTAATGAAACCCAAAAACATATTTGTGTGTGTAGTACTATCGGATTTAATTTAAAAATTGTTGTGTTGTTCGTAATTTTAAAATTTTTACTTTCTACTTATTGCAATTTCATATACTTATTTATAAAAAAAAATATGTGTTTTTGTAATTGTATCATATACTAATACTAGTGCGTACATTATTAAATCAAAACTATTTTATTTCATAACAACTTCTGAACCTAGTTTATTTTGTAATAAAATAATTTTACTCATAATAACAATTTCTGAACATTATTTTTACTCATAAAAACAATATGAACCAATTTCATAATATAAGGTTGAACCTATTTTATTTTATAATATAACATTATGGGGGCATTTTTTACGTTGCAGAATGAATAATAAAAATAAGTGGTGTGGTTGCTTTCCTCAGTAATAGATTCCGGACATCAGTGACGCATGTCAGAAAGGGAAAAAAATGCAATATGGGCAATTAACACGGGCCATATTATGGAGAGATGGTTTTTTGCACGTGAATTCTTGTCTGTAAGAAAGGTTCCCACTACAAGCATTTTTGTCAACTTTTGTCATCTTTTCTGTAAAAAAAGGTTCCCACTTGTATGGACAATCTTTTTTTATAACTTTTTTGTTTTTTACATTTTGTTCATGCACATGAGAGGAACCACATTCCATATTTATTTTGACTTTTTTTTTCGTGCAAATAAAATTATTGTGAATGAATTGGACTTTTAACTAAATTAAAATATAATAAA